GCTATCTAACACACATCTACATAGACTTTTCACTCTTTATTCTATTTTTTTAAAAAAAAACTTTCTTGGTCTTAACATTCTTCTTATATATTTCTGACTTTAATATTTTAAAAAATAGAAACAATACACAAATTTACTTATAAGGCCATGACATTTTCTGTATAAATATCCTTGATTTAAAATTTATTTATCAGTTTGGATTGTTAGAGTAATGTACTGGCTGGTTTTGTGTAACAACTTGACATAAGCTAGAGTCATCAGAGTAAAGAGCCTCAGTTGAGAAAATGCCTCAATAAGATCCAGATAGAAGGTATTTTCTCATTTAGTGATCAGTGGGGGAGAGCCCAGCCCATGGTTGAGTGGTGCCATCCCTGGGTTGCTGGGATGGGCCAGGAAGGAGGAGCAAGCTTGCATGGTTGGCATCTGTTCTCAGATCAATGAGTAAAAGGACCAGGAAGTGGAACTCCAGAGAACTGGTGGGAAGTATAAAAATCTAAGGCCCGGAAGAGAGGAAGCTGTGCAGACTTAACAGAGATGTACTTCAGCATGACTCTGGAGTCAGGAGATGCCAAACCAAATGAGAACTGGAAACTAACATCTCACGTATTTGCTAAGTATGTCAGTATACTTCTATTTGGGCCGCTTGTGTTACTGAATACTACTGAATATTCTTAGATTAAGACTTCCAGGGACCGGAGAGGTGTTTCAGTGGTTAAGAACACTCGCTGCTCCTCCAGAGGACCCCAGGTTCTATCCCACACCTCGGTGGAAGTTCACAACCACCTCTAACTCCAGTTCCAGGGCATTCAAAGCAGCCTTCTGGCCACTGTGGGCACTGACCACACGTGCTACACAAACATATATGCAGGCAAAACACCCTGACACATAAACTAAAAATAAATCTTTAAAAATAACTTTCCTAGTTTAATTTTTTTCAGGTAAGTTAATAATACTGAAGTTTCCTCTTGTGGGTGGTTATATTATTCATTTTTAATGTTTTTGTTTTGTTAGTTTATATCTAGCTCTTTCTTATTTAAAAAAGTTCTCAGTGTTTTCTCTCATTTAGGAAGCACATGGCTTCAGGCTGCTTCTTCTCTCGGGTGGTTAGCTTTATTGAAAACTATTTGGGGGCTAGAGAGATGGCTCAGAGATTAAGAGCATTGACTGCTCTTCCAGAGGTCCTGAGTTCAATTCCCAGTAACCACATGGCAGCTTACAACCATCCATAGTGAAATCTGGCATAGAAGCATACATGCAGGCAGAATACTGTATACATAATACACGATAAAATCTTTTAAAAAACAAAAAAAGAAAACTGTTTTCATAATAAAAAATGTTTTACTACTAAAACATGTACTTTATAAAATACCTTTATTAGCCAGAGATGCAGGTCAGCTCTGTGATTTCAAGGCTAGACGGATTTACATAGCAAGCTTCAGAGAGACAGGGTCACATAGTGAGACCTTACCTCAAAATAAGTTAGCCATTAAAATTTAGAATTCAAATTCAAGTTAAATTTTATAATTCGGTTGTTCCTAGCACTGGAAATGCCTCTATTGGTTAAAACTAAGAAAACTACATCTTTCAAAGTGAGTTATTAAATGAGGTTGCAATTCGTACATACCACTACTGTAACACAGATAATAGAAACCCAATACTATCTTATTTTGAACAAAGCTGTGATATTTTCATTAGAGTGTACATATTCTTAATATAATTTATAACATACCAGTCTTAACTTTAGAGGAAGGAGAAGCCATTTCTTTTTGAAAATAGCTCTTTTTTTTACAGAAATCATTCAGAAATCTGAATGAAGAAACAGAAAATTTTGATTACTTAGAAGTTAAAACTCTGCTTTTATATACTTTAGATTTTACATACTTGAGCTCATGTGTATGAACTGGTCTGATCTCTTTCTGGCTAAGATTGTTCCATGCCTGTTCTCACATCATATTACTCTGCAAATCCCCATCCCAACACACCACTATTTTCACAGTATTTTCTTAATAACAGATGTTTACAAGAGTGCTTCTGGGACTTGAAAATTTAAACTAATTGAACAGATAACTGATATCTCTGTAAAAGTTTGTGTTTGCTTAACTGCTAATACTGTGTTTGAATTTTTCAAGTGTTAATCATAGTTTTCTGCTTTATTTTTTAAAAATGTTTACTAATTTTACGTTAATTGTATGTGTGTGTGCCTTAATGTAGGAGCCCAAAGAGGTCAGAAGAGGCCCCTGACCCCCTGGAACTGGAATTTACAGATGTGAGCCAACATATGGGTGATGGGATCTAGACCCAGGTCCTCTGCAAGAGCAACAAGAGCCTTTAACCACCAAGCCATCTTTCCTGCCCATATAGTTTTCTTTTAATGAACTATGGTTCAGGCTTTTATCCTAACAGTCTTAGTAACTCATACATTTCATGTAATATTTTATTTCTTTATTAAATATTTTATATTACCATTTGGCCAAAACTGTCAATACTTAGCTTGGTTTGGGTTTTTTTATTTTTCTAATTAAATTTAAAAATACAAATAAGCACATAGAAAAATAAATATAGCCCATCAGTTTCCAGCATTAAGTTGGAATTAAGTAAGTAGGATTAAATTGGACGTTAGACTATTACTGTCCTAGATTTTATCTTTTCCTGAGGATCGACCCAGAGTCTTTCTTATTTTCTGAGCAGGCACTCCACCACTGAACTATATCCCTGTCACAATACCATGCATTCAATATTGTACTGTACTTGATTTATATAGGAATAAAAATAATAGAAAATATTTTACATTAAAATTTCTTTATAATAGTCTGTTCTATACGTAAATGTTTCCATGCTCAGTTTTCACTGCTCTGAAATGTACGATATTCTTACAGGCAGGATGATTTCTGGATCCGCCTTCATTCACACCTTTACCCTGACTGTCAGAGGGCTCCGTAGTGAAGGACTCGGTAGCCTACCTTCCTGTGGCTTACTGAAAATGGATACTGATTTAGAAAGCAACCAGCTGTGTGACATGATTTACAAACAATAAATCAGCCAGCACACAGCTCAGTGTGGTTTGGCCCACGTCAACCAAGATATAGAACACTTTTGTCATTGTCCTCCAAGAATTCTGTCTTACACATTTTCAACAACCTCCCCCTCTTAGGCCCTAGATAACCACAGAAACGTTCTGCTAGTATAGTTTATATTTATCACATAATTTTAAAGTAATTGGAAGCGTATGGTATATATTCTCTGGAATCTAGATTCTTTTGCTTCTAGTGTCTAGATCCATCCCTGATCTTACCTTAAGCTACATGGCCTATTGATAGATCAGTCACATGTCATTTTACACATATACCAAAACTTGACTCCCATCGGGTGAATAGTGAGGTGTTTTGAGTTTATTCCAGCCTGGGATTATTATAAACAAGCTGCTGTAAGCTCATAGATCTTTAGGCCATGGCTCTCCAAAAAGAGATACTTCCTCTTCATACCTAGGAAGTGTGTAAACTCTAATGGTTTCGTCCCCGTGTTTCATGTCAGGCACACTTCCCAAAGGAAAGCCCAGATCCTGATGCGGGACCCAGTCAGTGGGAAAGCCCAGATCGATGATGCAGGGACTAGGTCCTGAACACCTTGACCAGCTCCCTGAGAAGCACCTGATCACCCTCCTCTTGTATCCACTGCTCAGCGTAGAAGCTCACCTTGCTCGCTGCCCTTCTCTCTATGTCTCCTGGCTCCAAGAGAGTCTCAGAATCCTGCCAAGTCAGTCTCTGACCCTTCTCATCAAGGGAGGATCCGCAGAGAAAATAACTGCAGGCATAATGCTGTTTAATGCCAGCTCCTCTAAATAGCTGCAGAAGGTAATAGTCAGGCAATCCCCGGGCCACTTGAGCATCTGCCCAGTGGCCTCTAGGGCATTCTGTGCCCTCTTTGTGGCTACAAAAACACTCATTCTAATGACTCAAAATTCTGTACAGTGATTTTTTTTTTATTGAGCCTACCTTCCAACTTGCTACTAGAACAATTTTTATTTTCAAAGTGGTTCGAGCTGGCCTTGAACTCATGGCAGTCTTCTCTCAGCCTTCCATATGCTTGCATTTCAGTTTAAACCAACATACCAGGCTGTAGTTCAAACATAATAAGAATAATAATCACACCTTACACAACTTTCATATGTACATGGTGCATAATAGGCATTCATAGTTTGAATACATAGCACAGTACCTAAACTTGAGAGCTGGGCCTCTACCTTGGATATTTGACAATTAAAGTCAATCTTTATGAAACCAATACTTCAAAGCAAAGCATTTGTGGTTGTCACCTTCAGTCAAATATCCTCCCTGAATTGAAACTCATAATAAAAGAACAATTATTTATACCTTACATTTAGATGAATAATAGAGACGTTTTCTTGTACTACTGTCTCAAAACAGAGCACAAAAGATGGCCAGTCAGCACTATTCCCTTTCTTCTCTCTCCAGTTCCCTTCTGTGAAAAGGGGGATTTTTTAAAAAGCAGAGAAATTGTGAGAGTCTAAGGTTGGCTTTTTGGAAAACAAGATATATTCATGAAATAGTCCAATGCCTAGGAGATTTGGGGAAAAGATCTCCAATATCTTAGGAATGTAGTTACTAAAAGAAAATGTGTGAATTTTGCAGACTAAGAGAGATGTGGCTACTGAGATCTGATTATTGGGAGATATGTCACTGACTTTAGCGGGCATCCACTGCTTGTGTGCGTCACTGACTTTAGTGAGCATCCATCCCCTGCTTGTGTGCGTCACTGACTTTAGTGAGCATCCATCCCCTGCTTGTGTGTGTCACTGACTTTAGTGAGCATCCATCCACTGCTTGTGTGTGTCACTGACTTTAGTGAGCATCCATCCACTGCTTGTGTGTGTCACTGACTTTAGTGAGCATCCATCCACTGCTTGTGTGTGTCACTGACTTTAGCGGGCATCCACTGCTTGTGGCAAGATGGGATTTTGATGGGTGTCTCTCTCCCTTCAGTTCACAGACATTGGGACCTTCGAGACAGTGTGGCAAGTCAAGTTCTACAATTACCACAAGCGAGACCACTGCCAGTGGGGAAGCCCGTTCTCTGTCATTGAGTATGAATGCAAGCCCAATGAGACACGCAGCCTCATGTGGGTGAACAAGGAGTCCTTCCTCTGAACACAGCTCCTTCCGATGTGGCTAGACAATCTCCAGAAATCTACGTTTAAACAAACCAGCACAAGCCTTACACAAGGCACACCACACCCTGGTTGTTTCCCAATGACATCCTAACCCCAGTTACTGTGAAAGTGTGATTCCTCTCTGATACAGTAGCGGTGACATAAACGATGATGTCACATTCCTGAGAATTCTCCTTCCAGTCTTCAATGCTGCATCCAGCCGCGCTCCATCATACTGCCTGCCGGTGTGACTGGCGCTCAGAGGGACGAGCAGCTTTGTCCTATCCAGGAAGGTTCCACAGAAGGACCATGGTGTTTTGTTTCCAAGACAACCAATTCCTCCCTTTTGTGTTCATTGTCAAATAAAGTAACAATGTGCTCGAGCCCCCCTTGTGTGTGATATTGTAACATGTAGCATGCAGTGTTTGTGAACCTCCAAAGCAGACTTTGTGAAAATGTAACACAGTCAGCCATAAATGGGACTCGAATGCCATGCTTCCTGTCAACCCCTCCACTTCCTCAGAGAAAGAAAATGACAGAATAAATTGACGAATCTATAAAGAAACATTTATAATGTATTAGTAGTCTTTCCAGTAGCAAGGCATTACGCTGTGGCCTAGTTGAAATCAGGAAAAGACATTATTGTGGCATTGGAAGTTTGGGTCACCCTTTTGGCAAGCTACCACAGACCAAACACACATAGAGATGGCACACCTCCATACCATTTCTCTTGGGCTCTGTACAACCATGTATGGAATGGTAATCAACTTTTGCTATTTCTTAATAAAGACATTGAAAAATCATGGCCCAGCTTGAACTCTGAATTGTGCAACAGTTGCCTCGCAGGCCAATCTCTTTTCTAGGACAATGCACTCAAATCTCTCTGCTGAAGGGTAAGGAGTGTATACTGAGAGTCAACCTTCTATACCTGTTTAACAGGTGGCCTCCAGCAAGGTCTAACATAGCAACAGGAGTCTAAGCGCCTCCTAAACCATCAGAATAGGATCGTTATTGTCTCTATTCCTTCCTCGGCAGCAACTACTTCGGTAGTTAGCTGCTTAACTCAATAGCAAGAGGGCTTTGTGCTGCAACAGAGCATTACAGCAGCATTGAGACATCATTGCCTGCTCACAGGTTGCTTCAAAGTCTATGCTCCATACGGTTCCATGGGAGGGAATCTCCTCTTAAAATACAATATCCTGCCTTCCATGTTATCACTCACTTGCCCAGCAAAAATCCTATCATGCTGGGGGAAGTCAGCTGGGGATTCCGGTTTTCTGTTTTGTTTTGTTTTATTTTTCTACTTATAAACCTTTCACATGAGAATATAATGGTCCACACCTGCAATCCCAGCCTGTGAGAGGGTAAGGCAAGAGGATGGTAAGTTCAACCAAGCCTATACTGTATAACCAGACCCTGTTTCAACCCATCAGTAGCATACCATGAATGCTACTAGTAGCATGTTAATGGAAGCATTTTAAAGAGTTGATTTATTACAGAACTAAGTTTGGAAGCCTTTCTTCCAACAGTAAGTAGTTGGGCTGCAATGAGTCCTTGCTGCCGCCAGGGAACAGCAATTCCTTGGCTTTCAGCTAATAAATTTTTTAAAGAGCTCTCGATGTGTTTCTCAGCGAGCTTGTTCAAAAACAATAGCATCTATTGCATTTGCCAAGGGAAAGCATGAGCCTGTTTTAAATTACCATATATTAAAGTCTAACTTGAATTATTGGCTACACATTGAACTAGTTTTTAAAGTGAGTTTGTTGTAGGGGCTTCGGTTTTCCTCCAGAATGTGGGGCAATTTGAGCGCAACAAAAGTTGGGGAGGGGGCAACTGCACAATTCTGTCTTTATAAATACTTGATTCCTAAGTTTTGTGTCTGTGAAATGTAAGTTTCAACTCAGTAAGCGACCTCACAGCTTCAGTATTTGTTTGGAGATTGTAAGTGGGTTATGATGTTTGCAAAGAATCTGTGGAGGCTTCATTGCAAGTCGGAATCCAGTCAACACGAGACTGGAGGAAATGCGGCTTGTCTAACTGCATAAGCCTCGCACAGAGGTGTTGAAAGCCCAGCGTGGATGAAGGGCAGGGGTGTGAGTCCCGATAAGGCTCTATCTGAGCCCATGGTCACCTCAGCTCATTCTATTCTAGAGTTTTTCCAAAATCCTTTCAAATCTTTGGCTTGCATGGCTATTCAGTACTTTTTTAAAAAGAGTGTGTGTGTGCGTGTGTGTGTGTGATATTCCTGCAGGTGCAGAGGCAAGGTACACTCAAAGAGGTGGACCGGAGGTGGAAATGAAGCAACAAAAAAATCCTAACAGCTAATCTGCATGTCAAATGATGGCTCCTGGCATCTTCGGTTCTATTTGGGAGTGGACTCCAGCCCAGTCTCTCTGGCTCCTTTTCTCTGGTTCTCCTCCCGCTCCAAAATGTGAGTGCTCAGCTATATCGAGCCGCTGAGTTGTAACCCTGCCACTCAACCACCTTGGAGAGCTATTTTTACACAGGTTGTAGCCTCTCTCTTTACTTCCAGCATCAGATGGCTCCCTGGAAGCCTGAGGAATGAGGCCATCCTTTTAATTGGGGTGATGATGAAAACACTTTGCAGCAAGCAGAAGGGTAGAAACGCCTTGGGTTTATGCTGCGTGACACTTCAATCCTTGAGAAGCCATCACTCTCGCCATGTAAAGTATACAGACCTCAGATGAGAACATAAAACATGACGAAAATAGAGAGCCTGCCACAGATGTCACAAAATCTGTTCACTGCAGACTGCATTTTCTGAAACGGACTGTGACTCCCAGGTTAGACACAGTTCTACCATGTGCGGTGATGCGGTCTCTGGACCCAGGTTAGACACAGTTCTATCATGCAGTGATGCGGTCTCTGGACCCAGGTTAGACACAGTTCTATCATGCAGTGATGCAGTCTCTGGACCCAGGTTAGACACAGTTCTATCATGCAGTGATGCGGTCTCTGGCTCCAGGTTAGATCCAGTTCTACCCTATGCAGTGATGTAGTCTCTGGCTCTTAGGAAATTAAAAACAGAACAATTAGAGGAAAGAGGACAATTTATAGAGCTTTGGTATATGGAGAATGACTTTTCACAGCAAAAAAAAAGAGGGGGCAAATATCATAATAAGTCAAATTGTATACTAGTAACCTCCACCTATAATAGAGATATAACTCTATCCCATATCAAGGAGTGGTTGCAGATACCAAATGAAAACTGATATGCATAATCATGACTTGGATTCATGTAAGAAACCTGGTCCACTGTTTCTATCCGAGTGTCATGCTAGAGGTCAAGAGTTATTCAAACTTTCTATTTACTGTTTCTTTCAATCATCTTGTTCTTGGGAGGGAGGCGGTGTACATCCTGTTTCTATTTCGTACAGAAATACAGTCTCAGAGGCTAAAAAATAAGACTCAATTTTGTTTTGTTTGACTTAGTAAAATAATACCTACCTCCAAAACTGGTTCTGAGAAAGCCTTTCTTCTCCCCATCACTCTCCCCTTGACAAACACATTCTGTTTAAAATATATTCTTCTATACCCTCATTCCTGCACTGTTTTTTAAAAACCTTTTGGTTTGCTTTAGTTTGGTTTACTCACCTGCCATTCCCAGAGAAACGTGTGTGTGTGTGTGTGTGTGTGTGTGTACGCTACACCTATAAACTAACAAATTTTGCCCCGAACAGAAGTGTTCTTTTCCTGGGAGTTCATTTAATATAATACAACTGTCCTCTCTCATCCAAATATGATATTTTCTAAGATATCAAAAAAAAAAAAACTTGGATATCAGCAAAATCTATATATTCTGTTTGCTTGCTACACTTATTCACGTGGTAAAGTTTAATTAGGCGCAATAAGAGACTAACAACATCAATAATAAAATAACATAATAGTAAAAGCGCAACCAAATGTCCCAAAAGAGATTACATCTTACATCATGCTCAGAACTGCATGCAGTTTAAAACGCATGCGCTGTTTATTTCTGGAATCGCCTATTTGATCTTTTTGGACCGCCATTGGCCATGAGTAACCAACACTGTGGAGAACAAAAGTTAGAATAAACAAACACCATTACACTTCCTACAGTAAATTACATGACAGTAATCTTTATTAGTGATGGCTATGATGAATTAAATATTTTATTTAATCAAATAAATAGACGGGCTCTTTAGCCCGTCTTCTAAGATGTTTGGTCCTACACTAGGATTTTTGGTCCTACGCTAGAATTTCAGTGTATTCGGGATGGGCACAGTAACCCCAGCTCCTTTAGATACTGTAAGCCCAGCAGTTTCTGATCATCATTCTGCCTGCCAGCTGCATGGAATGCCCCAGCTAGCAGACACCTTTATCTGACAGTTTAAATGTCACTTCTGCTATGAAGTCCTTCCTAACTCGACTGCAAACGGTCGAGTCAAGAAATGTTCAAATTTTAGTTTATCCAGATGTTTGGTTTTATCGTTTCATTTCTTAAACGTTTCGGCAGCCTCCCTCCACCTAACTTTTATGTTTCCCCGCTTTCAGGACAGCTCCCACATCTCCTTCCCGACTCACTGAAAACTAGCTGACTCAATAAAAAGGTGTTGAGATTCTAGGAAGAGCTGGCTGGCCGGTTGGCGGCCTCACTGGCTAAAGCACCTGCCAGTGTTTGGAGGAGATTCGCCCTCAGCTGCCTAAAACTGGTCCATTTGAAAGAGACTTTTGAAAGAAAGGAAGTGGCTGGGGATGGAGGAGGGGGTCTGAATTCTTTTACTGAAATCACTTCCGGAGAGTCTCTTTTTGCATGACAATTAGTTCTTTGACGAAATTTGTGTATTTACTCTTGTCAGGATGATGTCGCTGAACAAATGCTTCCAACTCTCCCCTGCTAAGCACCAGACAGGATTCGTGAAGGAATATGGGCCAGTATTTCAGGCCAATGCGTTAGGACCAGAGCCCAGGGGAGATCCAGATAGCCTCTTCATGACAACCGTGGATAACTGTCATCCTGGGCCCTGGAATGGAAGAAGTGGCTCCCCAGCCAACCTTTCTTGGACCTATAGCATAAATGAAGAATAAACTTCTCTCACTATGGCCCCAGGAGTGTGGGAGAGTTGGCCAGGATGGCACCAGCCTAGGGGAGCCTGAGGGGGTGGATCCCACGGACTGATCAGCTCCACCGGACCCACAGCCTAGGCCTTGGATTGGTGCATTGTAACATCTACCCCATCCATGACCTGCTGGAGTGTGTGAAGGGACTGGACCTGCTGAATGGTAGATGCAGGCTATCCGAGAGGAGTTTCGGTGAGGGCCAGTGATGACGGCGTGCCAGAGGCCTTGAGCCAAACCCATGACTCATTGCAATGAACATTTGTGGCATTCGTGGATGGGG